GAAATAAATACTACTTCTCTGCAGCTCTATTGTAAGCTTTCTAGATTTGGTTTAAACATTCACACACACACAGTTTCAGTTGTGAGAGGCTTTACAAGTCACATTCCACGTACTTTTTTCAAAGAGTTGCTTGAGTGAACCAGTCCTAAAAACTGAAGTACTCAACCAGTCCACAAGACAAGCAGAAAAAAGTTAAATTAACTGGGGTAAACAGGGCTCCTACATAACATCCAAAGCATGTGATATTCTGCAGCAAACAGGGAGTAATTTGGGGTTGGCCTACTGTCATCTTTAGACTTTCTGTAATTTCATTGTAAAGGTTTAAGAAAGTAGATATTTTAACACTATCAAGTACATTTAAGTGATGTTTCTTTTGTGTTAACTTGACTTTCCTTAATGACCAAGTGAGTTACTTTTTTTTTTAAAGATGACTGGTAAGGGAATCTTAACCCTTGGCTTGGTGTTGTCAGCACCACACTCTCCCAAGTGAGTGAGAACTGGCCATCCCTAGATAGGGATCCGAACCCGTGGCCTTGGTATTATCAGCACCACACTCTCCCAAGTGAACCATGGGCCGGCCCAAGTTAGTTACTATTATTATTAAGTTAATTATTATTATTAGTCACTAATAATTTGGTCATTAGGCAAATCAAGCCTGCAAGAGAGAAAGCCAATATTCAAAATACCATGTTATTGTCTGAGCCCAATCAAATAATTTATTTCCAACATAAATGTGTAACCTAAATAATGAGATGTCTAACTAAAGCAAGCTCCTCCAACAAGACCAAGACTGCATCTCCTCTTCTAAGGTTTAGGTTTTGCCCAGAATTCCCGATACATGGAATAACCCATACCTAAAGAAAAAAAATACTAGTTAAACATTTCAATGTTTTCTTCAGTTTTAAGAAAATAAAGAACAGTTCATAAAACAGCTATAAGTAGCACTCTTGCTAGCATGGAATATTTACAAGGGGAATAAGACCCTAAGAGACTTACATTCTTGTCTTCTCAAACAATTTAAATTTCGAAAACTCTACAGTTTCCCAAGTAGATCAAGGCTAGCATGACTAATTCCCAATATCACATATTTGTTTTAAAGAACAATATCTGGCAACTTGAAAGGAGTCACTCTTGCTACATAATACCAGATAAAGTCAAGGAATTACAATAAAAGCATGTAATACCTATACCAACCCTATTTGCATGTCTAGACTTTTCAATGAAATTATAAACTCAGTGATTAACAGGATTTTTTTTCTTTAAAACCTAACTAGAATCATAGACAGTAAAACTATCTCACTATGAGTTATTTTTATTAATTCAATCTTACATGAAAATGAATATAAGTGATATTTTCAAACTGCTTAAAGGTCAGCTAAAAGTATATACTTTGTTTTGTTTGTTAAGGAAATGCATTAATGGGGAACCACAAATTTGAAAATTTCCTGTAGGAACCTACCAACAGTCATTGCTCCCACAACAAAGCCTTGGGCTGCCACACGCATGTGGATCAGATGAATGGACATTTTAGTATCTCCCCTTTTCTTCAATTTATATAATCCATATGCAACAATTGCTGCAAAGCCTGCCATTCCTGTAAAACAAATAGTCACAAGCATGTTAGATGCATGAAAGGAGGGGACCAAGATGATTTTAACATCAATCAATGTACTTTCTATTATCTTTATAAGGATGTTTTATCAGACCATTCATTAGCTAACTGATTTTTAATTTTCTTTTGTTTTGGAACTTTACAGGCCAATATCAAAGTAAAAAGGCAAGCTCTTTTTGAGAAAGTAGAATAATGAAAGTGTACTGGCTTATGAGGTACCTAAACATACCATTAAGTTCCTGGTAGATAGATAAATAGATTAAAGCATTAAAATAGGTAGTTGAGTAACAGATCTCTCTGTGTGCATGTTTAGTATAGGACATAATTGGCATTTCAAATAAATGGGAAAAGAATGTAAAATGTATATCCAAAACACTGTTGGAAAATTAACCATTCATATGGAAAAAGAATAAAGTTAGATTTTATCTCATTTCACACCCACAAATAAATTCCAGATAGATTAGTATCTCTATGATAAAACATCAACATAAGGAAATATAGGAACCTAAACAATTCTGGGATCATAATGTAACATATAAAAAAATTTAAATTCAAAATACATAATAATTATAATTCAATTAGAAAAAGACCTAGTTAAAACAAACAGAAATATAGGAACCTAAATAATTCTGGGATCATAATGTAACATATAAAAATATTTAAATTCAAAATACATAATAATTATAATTCAATTAGAAAAAGACCTAGTTAAAACAAACAAAAATAAGCTAATTCACAGAAGAGGAAAACTGAATGGCCAATAAACACTAAAAGACACTCAACCTCAACCAATAATCAAATAAATACAAAATTTAAAAAGATATTTTATATATATGCAATTGGCAAAAATCAAAAAGATTGATAATATCTAGTGCTATGAGAGTATGGGAAAACCAGCCTGTCAATAGCCTGTTGGTGCAAATAATTGTTTTGGTACAATTAGATATGAGTATAAGGATACGTTAATTTTTATACACATACACACTTCTTTGCAGCAGTCTGTGAAAGCAACAATAATGGGAACAACTCAAATGTCCATCAATAGGGCAAAGGTTAAATAACTGTAAGATTTACACATCCCCAAAAAAGGATGTGTGTATATGACCACCCACTAAGGTGCAGAAAGAAAATTTTATATTTTTATTTCAACCTTTTAAAATGTCTTTGTGCATGATTCATAATCTACTAAATATATAAGAACAAAACTATTTATAAATGATTTAAAAGTAAACATATACACACTGGCAGTACATATTCAAATTATTTTTTACTGATGGAATGTATAACCAAAAAACTTTATGGACCACTGTTACAAAATTAAAGATTTAATTATTAAAAATATAAAAATACTCCTATATGCACTGATATAAAAAGATAATGAAAATATATAGCTAAAGAAAAATATAATTTCACTTAAAAAAAAATTATAAATAGGACTGGCTGGTTAGCTTACTTGGGAGAGCATGGTGCTGGCAACACCAAGGTCAAGGGTTTGGATCCCCGAACCAGCCAGCTGCCAAAACATAAAAATAAAAAAATTACAAATAATTTATATATTATATGAAGACAAAAACACTGATAGACTACGCACCAAACTGCTATTGTCCTTCAAAGTCAGGATCATAGGGCATGGCCCCTTTCTGTTTTATGTACTTTTGCTACTAACTTATTACTTATATAGTCTGAAGAAAAATTCCTTTAAGAAACCTCAAAGTCCTTGAAACCCTTAGAGGACAATATAAGAGGATGCTCATTAGTTTAATTTGTAATAATAAAAAATTAGAAACAACATAAATTTATACCTATAGAGGATTATATAATAATGTTACATATAATGTATAGCATATATAATAGCTGTGTATATAATGTAAATAAATAATTGTATATCTATAGAATGGAATAAGATAATTAAAAGTCAGGTTTTGAATAATAATGTGGTTGAAACACAAGATAAAAATTACATATATGCACCTTAGTATGATCCTGAATTTGTAAAAATAAAAAAGGGAAAAACAACTGGAAGAAATAAGTACATTGAAATGGTAACAACAGTTATATCTAAGTGGTGAGATTAAAGGTAATTTTTATATTATTTATACAATTAAATCTAAGGTCAGTCACAAGGATACTACATGCCCATGGCTCAGTGGGTTTCCCTGGATGGAGTACTTTGCATGTGTTGCCAAACACCACTACTGGAAGAATTAAGTGTGCCCCCATGTGATTCCACTGGAAGGGGACACCTGGAAGCTTTTATCTGATTTCTCACGGGACTTTGTCACATATTGCCTTTGCAGATTTTAACCTATATCCTTTTCCTATAATAAACCATAACTATGACTACAACAGCTTTTTTTAGTCTTATGAATCTTGGGAAATCATCCAGCCTGAGGTGGTTTTGGGGTCCGTCAACACATTATTCAGTGAAATGAGTCAATAAAACAAGAAATCTATACATACGCAGAAGAAATTTTGTGATGAGATTTGTATCATGCCAATCTCGCATACTTCAACAACATAAGAAAAAAAATATTTGAAAATACAGCTGATCCTTGAATAACGCAAGTGTTAGGGGCACTCCTTCCCTCCAAGTTGAAAATCAGCCTTTAACCTTTGATTTCTAGCCTGTACTTCAACAACATAAGAAAAAAAATATTTGAAAATACAGCTGATCCTTGAATAACGCAGGTGTTAGGGGCACTCCTTCCCTCCAAGTTGAAAATCAGCCTTTAACCTTTGATTTCTAGCCTACTGTTGACTGGAAACCTACCAATAACATAACAGTCAACTAATGTATTTTGTATGTTTGTATAAGTCCATTTCTGTTGCTTATAACAAAATACCTGCAACTGAGTAATTTATACGAACAGGAAATTTACTGCTTACAGTTTCAGAGGCTGGGTAGTCCAAAGTCCAGGGAACACAGGTGGTGAAGACCTTGATGGTGACAACAGTGACTCAGGGGTCTCACATGGCAGAAAATGGCAGAACAGAGAAAGACTAACCTCTCGTGTGCTCTTCTTTTAAAGCCCTCAGAATCATGCCCCTGATCACCATTTTTAATCCATTCACTAAGGCATCGTCCTACAATCTAATCACCTCTTCAAGGCCCCACCTTTCAATTACCATAATAGGATCTCCCACCCTCTTCACAGTGTCACAGTGTGGACTAAGTTGGGGGACATTCAACCCAAGGCAATGTCATATGTATTACATACTGTATTCTTACAATAAAGCTAGAGAAAAGAAATTTTTATTAGGAACATCATAAGGAAAATACATTTGAAATGCAATGAAATACATTGAAAAAAATCTGCATATAAGTGGAACCACATAGCTCATTCAAACCTGTGTTACCAAACTGTAAATTCTTTCAGGATATACTCAGTGAACACGTTTATCATGCTTCTGTCGTATTCAAGCTTATAATAGATTATTAGAACATCAAAGTCAAACTTACCAATGGGGACAAATGGTGTTTCTTTAGCTTTTCGGATAAATTTGGATCCCTGATCTTCATCATATGAAGAAAGGGAAACATCTGTGTCGGTTGACATAGTAATTGCTTGAAGAATCTTCCTGAAAGAGAATTTCTATCAGATTCTGTAATAAAAAGCATGTAGAACATTATTAAATACCTGGATATACTTAAAATATTCCTAGTTTCCACAAAAAAACCTGGTATATGTTATACATAAACTTTAAAAATATTTTTAGGGGCCGGCCCGGTGGCGCACTGGATAGTGCGCCGCTTGGGAAGTGCGGCGGCGCTCCCGCCTGAGGGTTCGGATCCCACATACAGACCGGTTCCCGCTCACTGGCTGAGTGAGGCACGGGAGCAAC